GGATATCTTGCTATGCATAACGATGATTTTGTTTTACCGGTTTTCTGAGAAAACTGCCGAAGGATTAATATTGTTTGTGAAATTCTGATCCGGTGAGCTACAAGGCTACACCAAAAGCCATGATCTTTTCCTCTACGATCACTCATTCAACCCACAGAGATATATAAAAACCTAAGCAGTGTTCAACCATGGATTCCAATTTTATCAATACTGAAGTCATCTTCCCGATTTATTCATGTAATGTCTTGCCAATAATTTTAGTCGTTTCTTATGGAATTGAACTAAGGGTTTCTCCTCACTGATAGTGCTTGGAAATCATCAAAGTTGAGCGGTTTACAGGTGAAAGGCAGTTGACATTTTGATACTCGGTATCGAAAAATCTTGTTATCTATGACTACTCTCATTGCAATTGCAACTGTAAACGGATATTTTCTGTGCAAATTTGGCAAGAGAATAGCACGTGGAACCAAACAATCACAAAAAGTGCTCACAGAATGCTTTCATTATGGCACACCATATGAAATACAATAAAACACAAAGGCACTGATATTAGTCTATACGGGAAAATATATCGCTTTCTGGTTCTCGTAACGAACCTCGAAACCATCTTTATTGGGGCTTACTGATATTATCGTTCAATGAAGAATGGTGTGTATTGAGAAAAATAAACAGGAGACCCGAATTATTGAAATATTTAGTAAATAATTAGAAGAATGTCAACAGAGAGAGAGAGAGCGAGACAGAACTAACCAGCAGTGAACTGACAGGCTAAGACGTATTTCTTTTACGCCTTTGTTAATCTCGTCAGGGGGCATCAGATTTTGGGAATCCATGGGTGCCAGTTAGATTGAGCTGATCCTATGTCAGCTAGAACATAATCATTTTAACGTAAAACCGTTATTGCATAATGTCAACCTGTTCTTCGGGGTGAGCTTCTTGAAGAATTTAACAAGGAGCTATAACAGTTCTCAATTTAAGCCACTATATTCATCTGGAAATTTCCGATGGCAAAGGCTCATTGCAAACGAAACTCACTAGACTTTTGACAACTGCATGTCTAACCCAGGCAAATGAGATATTTGAACTAGTTCCGCCACCAACTTGTCACAACCAAATCGGTATGTACGTGACATGCACAATGGATCAATACAATGAACAAATCTGTCCTTGAACGGCGTGACTGCTACGGACGAGGACGTGACCTTCTGGATCCCACACATGCATGTAGGTTTTTATACTGAACACCAGATGCAATCCGATTTCCAGGATAGATTGATCGGTTTCACATCCTGGTGTGTATTAAACGATAAACAGCGTTACACGGAACCAGGAATTTGTTGTATCACCCGAACAGATTAGGCGCATTGAATTCGCATGACCTTCACTAAAGGCTGCCCAAACTGGCTTGAAAATTGAGGATAAGATGACACAAGATGAGCAGTCCAAACAAGACGGCAAACCTGTTAACAATGTTAGACATTTTAACTCTGAATTCTGAATTTAGTTGCTCATGGAGCTTGGTATTCAGATTTTGATTGCTTGATTGACAAGAGAGATAACATATTGGCCGCATTATCTAGCGTGTCGCTTGATGAACAATCTATCATCAAATATCATTTTGTACTACTGCTGTGAGACAATTAGAAACGATGGTCGGTGTGTTTTGCTGACAATTTCCGGGCTATGCGTCCTTCCGTAGCTTGATATTATTTTGAATAAGTATTACAATTGGTCCAACCATAACACGTCCAACAGATATCCAAACACTGGTCACGAAACATCCTGTTAAACTATTGCAAAAGTGTTTATTCACCCAGTTTTCCGACCGGATGAGTGGATTTGTGTGCCTTATCTGAGATTGGGTAAACATTCCGATGATACTATCGCATAGTTGTTCCATATGTTTGCCACATACTCCAAAGGTTTGGTGTGTAGATCGTTTGCTTTTATTGATTGAAACTAGTAAAATTGATCGGCATATCGCAGTGCCGGCTTGTATTTTGGTGACAAATAAAGTAAGAATAATTCAAGTCATAGGTANACTCGGATACGCTGAGGCAACGTGTCGATAGATGGAGATTATTTTCACCGAATGTTTGATCTTACGGTTAGCGACGCATGTAGCACATTCCACAAACAATATATACACTGAAGTAACCCAATCACCTTGTGATTTAGAGAATATAAATTAAAATAAAGCGTATGGTGTTAGTGCAATGTGAAGAACTTGTGCGCGAATTAACGAAGCTCGCACATCTTGGCGCATTTCAACCTATCGTCTGAATAACCTCATAATCGGAAAATGAACACACTCGAAAATNATGCGGCTATAGACGCACAAGGATAATGTCTATACAGGTGCTGCACGACCGACTGTTTTATTTAAAGACGTTCAATCGAATCCACATTTCCAGAACAGACTGAAGCAAGCAATTGCAGCCTAATATTGCAAGGACCCGAATCATCAATGGTCAGGCTGCGTTGGTTCTCGTTATGACTACACGGAGTTAGTGGTCACGAGCTGAAGCATCTTAACCAAACTTGTTTCACATCCATTTATCATATAACGCAAGCCAGATGTTCCACTCCCCCAAACCTGAAAAATGTCTGTATAATTTTGTGATTAATAAAACAAAGTTTAGTACAGCACAGCTTAGAACCCTTGCGAGAGACTCACTCACCTTTGAACCTGAATTCAACGGTTGTTGATGATCTGTTAGATTAAAAAAACATTTTAACAGCATTTCATGTAGAGAAATATCGATCCCCAAGTCGCAGCTCATCAACGCTGATGACCCCAATCGGGTTAATCGATTGGACAAAGGTCAATCAGACCACTTGAATAATGCGATCCACCAGTCCACTCATCCGCTCAGAACTGACACAGATACACAAAACACCAGTGGTTTCCACACTGCGATAACTCACTCGCCAACCACGTCAGTGCACGTAAGTCCTTCTCCTGTACAGTCACTCACTGACCATGATCACAGTTGGCAGCACACAATCATGCGCGCACAAACACACACAAAATGTGACGTTTTTCTTACCCCACGAGAAACCAGAAACTGCAAACAGTCTACGCAGTCATTTTAATAAGTTATTCAACTGGCTTAAAAAGAGGCCCTCCAATAGAGTCAACCTGACGTGACCGAAAATTCATGCTATTAGTTCCTCGTCCAAACGGATGTTTGCGAATCCAAAATTCTGAGCGTACGAGATGCATGCAACCATTTCCGTCAACTTCTGATTTCGGTACTCTACGGGGGATAACCGTTTATAAGAGCATCATCTTTTCGTGACGTGTGTACAAGGAGAACTTGATGGTCAAAAGATACGTATCTCGGATTTTTCTGCAAAAGATTCTGAACCTAACAGTTGAAAAGAGTCGTTAGTGGATGGATGCCAAAAACACAAACAGTATGTGAACTAATTCAGGATAGAATACTACAGCGACCGAATATTAGTACAACAATTTTCGGCTAGGATGGCAGTCTGCTTTCGATGGTTCGTCGCCCTGCTAATAGAAAGGTACTTCAATAGGCGTTACAGACCATGTGCCGTGTCTACGAACTCCTTCGTCGCCGTGCTGTTTTTCCACTTAAAGAAAAGCAACCTTTCGGAATACTGATTGTTGTTTTTATATATCAAACAAATGGAAGAAAACAACTGAGTAATATTTTTATATTCAATATCGTTGGAATGCGCTCCAATAAATATCATACTATCTACTCTCTTGTAAACTTCAAACGCTTTTTATATTCAGACTACAATATGCACATCTCTGTGAATACAGAAATACGAAACTTACCTATGGAAAACAAATAACTACGTTTTCGAATTAAAATAAAATGGGCAAATCAGAAAACCGCTTTGGACCTTGTGACAACTAGAAGACAGGGGAAGCACATTGTTGGAGTGTAATACATGCTTTTTAAATCTATTTTATACGATACAATGTAGAAGATCAACCTACGTTGACGATAGAGCCTGCGAAAAATAGAGAAGCTCTCTGAGAAAAAATAGGTTGACTACCGCGAAACCGAACATGCTAAGGGTTCAGCCAGTGAGACCTGGTTTCGGGGAGGAGAGAAAAAGTAAGCTATGCATCGATAACATGTCAGGCTCCAATAGACAAAGTTGTAATTATGCAACAGGGAATTAAAGCTGTTTTCACATTGTTGTGGCAGTCAGCTTACATGCTAACTGGTGTATGCCATATGCCTCTGCAAGTTGGATGAGTGGTTTGAATGTGAACAGATCAGTGCTATCGGAGTGACCTCGTAGCTCATCTGGTAGAGCGTGCGTAGGCGGCATCCATGCGTGGGTTCAAATACCACCGAGGCTACTGAACTTTTCACAATTTGAATATAGGAATTAAAGCTGTCTACAATGAGGAGTAATCTCATGGAATCGATCACCGTTGCCGGGACCAATATGGACCGTCTTTGATTCTTACCATCTACATCCTATATTTGCCCCCAGTCAGTCTCGAATTGGTTTCAGCAACGGAACTATGTTATCGGCTTTCATCGCATCGTTGAATATTGAAAGAAAAACTGAGGGAATAAGTTCAACAAACTGGAGAGAAATCGGGCAGTTTTTAGGAAAAATCATTTTTATTTACTTCGTTTATGGGTCATAAGTTTGTAGAATGGTGGCAACCGGTTTGATGAGAACAAAGCAATCAAGTATCCTGAGTGAGATGGGATTAGAAGGAGCGACCGAGAAGGTGAGAGAGCGAGTATAGGGTCACATAAAATGGCTTGAGCTTATGAACCGCGTGTTTTACAGCCTCCACAATCAATTATCTGTTCCTCACATATCAAATTCATAATTAATATTTTCCATAGTNAATATTTCGGTATCACATATAGTTTTTGTATATAAATATTTTTTCAGGAGTAAGAAAGGAAAGAACAGTGATCAGGGCTGATCCAAAACGAATGTCAACCGGTCGAGAACCCAAAGGGCTTTCCAAACAGTTGATTACGTTATCCCTAGAGCCTTTTGTATGCACCGAGAGTTGCGTGACACTGAGGACATGTGTGTACTGCATCTTTGCATCCGTCCACACAGAATGGAATCAGACAGCAAAATAATGGACCGCTGGAAGGAGACAAACGAAATACGAGTAATAAATCCACGAAACACAGTTTGCATTCAAATAAATAGCTGAGCAGAGTGGAACAGTATCCAATTCTAAACACTCAGAACTTATAGAATATGCAACTTGTGAAAAACCTCGGCATTGTTCGTTAAAACAAACTGCAGTAGAATGATAGATTTTGTCAATATTTCTCGCCTGATTCACAGTTTTCGTAATAGGCAACGCGATACAATACAATACAGCGTCTTAATTAAAAAGCTCTTAAAACACCCCGAGGTAACTTAGAAAAATGTCTATCGTACGGATCAAACACAATACCGCTTGTTTCTTACACGATTCTACTCTTCAATTTACAGTCTCTCAGGCGTTACCCAGGACAAATCGGTGATAAAACAGACATAAAAGAAACCTGTTGGTTTTGCATGACTGCCTTTCAAATTCCAATTCTTGTCTATTAATTCATGGAGGAAGTAATCGATAGAATTTGATGTCTTACAGTATATTGAACCCCGCTGCTGCTTTTGGACAAGAGCTCATCACTCTAAGAATAATCCGATCGAAGTAAACATGCCAAATTTGTATGATTGCTAGAACAAAACATCGATTTCTTATCGCTGTATTCGTACTCCGCGGACATCATGCCTGACCAACATTATTGATTGTTGACGAGAAACTTTGTTTTCCTTTGGGGACCAAAATAGTTCTTCACATTACTTGGTTCCAACAACGTTTATGATATGATTTTTCCGCGCCTTTGCTTTTCGTTCACTTACGGCTCCACCCACGGTTTTTTGATTGGTTGAAACTGATGGCGATTTTATATTTTCGAGTCTTTGTCTACTGTCGTCATCTTACAATTTGTGAACAAGCTCATCGTATTCATCTAATTGTTCTACGATCCGCAACCTTATTCCTCATTCAACCTGATGATAAAGCTTTTGTCGAGACCGTTTTTCGGCTCCCTTAATTTTCACTGTATTACAGTTTGCGACGTCTATAGATTTGAAATCACAATCATCATGATAATAGTTGTTTGGTTTTTATTTTATGCTCTTAACTCGGTGCTTTGCACGGTTCATTTTGTGTGGTTCTACGGCGCACCGATTCGTTGATATGCTTACACTCCACCATATTTGTTCTGTTTGACATTGGGCATTAGTATTGCGCCCTGTATTACGCATCCAAAGCCTTTCATGCAGCATGCCCTGATCCCATAGTGGAATTCGTTTCTTTCACCTAAACTCCTGCTTCATGGCACAAATAAACATGAAATGCATGGGAAATTCGACCAAACGACCTGTCTCTATCCTAGTCTCCGATGGACGATATACCCTGAAGGAAATGGTTACAAACCCGTACCAATTGTGTCTTCCTCGACATTTCTGAAAATATTAGATGGTTCAAGGTATGCACTTTGCCTGTTGGCCAAACACACGACAATCTATATGGAAAAACTTACCACCCCTTTCAGTTTTACTGCGCTGTTCACTTCCCTTGAGCTGAATCTCACCGGAATAACAATGCACGAATGTGAAAAAACACGCAACAAGCATTCCGGCAACTAAGCCACTTCACGTCAATAACAAAAAACAAACATTTCTGGGATTATTGATAACAAATCTCAAGTTCAGTAAATAAAAATTCTCCTCATGGTTCAGGATGGTTTGTGACTGCTCAAGCTTTCAACCCACGAAATGCCTTCATACGAGCAAGACTCTTAAATGACCTCCGAGTAAGAGAAAACCCTTCTTACTGCCTTCACGTGGAAGAGGTTTCTTCCACATCAACTTAGGACGATGAGAACAACAACAATCGCAGGCTAAAACTGGTTGAGTGAACCACTTGTAATTAACCTAGGGGAGTTGGCTGAAAACTTTGATGCCAAACCAAGAAAATGTGTACAAATGTTATTAGCACTTCCTGGTTATAACCCCGATCATCCGCTCGATCAAGCCTCAAGGCGCACTGAGTACCTTAGAAGCGTAACCCCGAGCAAAGATCGTGTGATCCAATGGGCTGCGGTTTCCGAACATTATCAGGATGCTTTGAGAGTCAAGCTTTGAATAATCAGCCATTCCATATATGAATTCTCAAACAAATTTCACATGCCTCGACCTGCGCGATCTGTCAGAATACCTTGGCCTAGCAAAACATGGACCTTTGTATTTGTTATAAAGATTATTGCAGCGTGATTTGTTAAGCACAATCGGAACTCAGATGCGTGTGAATGATGATGTAACAGTATGAATAACTGCTTCATGAACAGTTGAACACCAAGTCATTTTTGGTATCCTACCTCACCTCAAAATTGTAAGCAGAACACACTCTTGCCTATGGGAGTGAAAAGTTTGATGCCATCGAATAAGCAAAGTTGGACTGTGTGCATTCCGTAGTGAAGACAGTACTCCACAGGAATCGAAGGACTGGGATGAAACTTCGCAGGAAGTGCTATCATTTGAGATGGTGTACCCTCTGGATCTCTTGTGGTCATTTCTATCATTTATTTGATGCATACGAGAAAAGTATGTTATGGGTAGTCGGTGTCCTTACCCAAATAGTAGGTTTGGGTAAGTGTGGATTTCACGTATTCTACTGTCAGTCATACTGGGGTGAATGGTGAAATAACTGAAAATTTCCATAATGACATTGACGGAACACTATCAGTGGCGAACGGGCTTGTTTCCGATAACTTCTTACTTTAGATAATACAAGTATATTTTTATATGTGGAATGAACTGATGTATAATAAATAACATCAGAATGAATGCAAGTTGATTGGATGATATGGATATGGAGAATACTGGTTGGGAGGAAACAGGATAAAAGAAGTCATAGTGTAGCGAGAAGACGGGCTGGCTGGGAAAAACGTCTATTGATCTTATTTCAAAGCAAACGGTGTATGCGTTCGATTATATACAATCAATTCTCAACCGCGTGGCGGGATGATTCATGCCACTTTCTGTGGGTCATTCCTTTTTGGTTTTGGTCCGCACTTGGCACGTGCGTCGCCTCTTCTTCCGTGTGCCATTCCGACTGGTTTGACCCGATCGCTGCGCGAGATGCGTTGATCGNTGATCGACAGGTCCGACGTTGTGGCATTCGATGGATATCTTTCCCGTTAGCTGCGGATTGTCTGTCGGACTGTAATTGTCGATTCGCTCGTTTCCGGTGGCAGTCAACATTGTCTCGCGAGGCACTTCCCGCCGCTGCGTCTGCGTGTCTGGTCGGATGAGCCCCATTCTTGATTCGGTCGCTAGCCAGAACTCTCTTTGTACTGCCTTTATCACAATAGATTTCCGGTTTAGATTAAAGCGTTACAAGTGATTTGAGGTTGTGGTGAGCCTGGAACGCATTATTATGTGCCTGGTGCTCAGTATGCACGCGATGAGCTACGATTGTGCTCAAACTTATTTTTCCGGTTCCCTTGATTATGTGAGAAAACTGCCTGACCGTTTTGCCAAAAATAAGCAAACAAAAGAACAAGCCAAGATACAAAAAGGAAGGACCGTTAGTTTATGAGGATCAACTGATGAAATGACTGCGTAGATGAGCTGTAGAAAAGGTTCGAGTGATAATCTTATCAAGGCGTCTTGTCAACAAATCCCACATTTGAGCGGGAGACGTATACAGGGTTGCCTTCGACCACTGTTGTCACCGTTAATCCTTATTTTCTCTCACAGATTCTTTTGGGTGAATCTCTCGGGATAGCTATTGTTCAATAGGCTTGTTTGTTCTTTCCAAACATGTCATTCTGAAGGGGGCTCAGAGGTAATATGATTACGGCTCCCTCAGTTTGTCTGTGCATTTCCTCGTCGATGCTAAACTGTACATTGAAAGCACAGTACAGTAGTAACCATTTCAAGTCAGCCAGTGGGATGCCGGTATCCCGTTACCAATGATGCAGTCGCATAAAGAATCTATGATTTACCACAAAGGAATATTAGTGAACAGCGATTTCACATCTAGTGAGGTCACTGAAACTGTGTTCGTGCGTCGTTCTCCTATAGGTTCTACAATTTGATTGTATCCTTCAGAGAAATCTTTCTACGAACAGATTCTAAAACTTCCACAAGCCTTTGAAGAATCGAATGCCAAGGAGATGCACTCATGTTCAGAATAGGCCTTAGAGACAAGCCCAGTTTATAAACTTTAGGAAAACCGTAAAGATGAGGAATAAAGTAGACTCCTTTTGGTCCCAGATGTTCGTATGTTGCCTTAGAGGTGATACATTGATCACAGTAGAAGAACACAGAAACACATCACTAGATTCTATGGGAGACAAATATTTAAAAACAGATCAATCAAAGCAGAATATCTTTGAGAAGATAATTAAAAATCGAATAGAGCACAAAAACAACAACCCCGATCTTGGCATGCATTAACGAAACTACAAAAATCGTCTCAAGAAATCGAGAAAATACACAAAACCACAAACCCGCAGACTCTGATAAATGCTAGCAAGACCAAATTAACAAAAAATAGATGCTTGACTTGTTTGCAGGGTAACTGTAGCCGGTTGTTCGTCTGAAAAACAAAAATATTGGTAGGACCAATACTCCATGAGTATCAACTCACGGCTTACGTCATGATCAGACGCCGATTGACACGGCTTCAAACGGCGCTGAGTGATGATCATAGTAGGATACACAAACTCCTCAAGCTGACCCATTGTTTGAAACCCACATTTTCTGCGAACGTACCAATGAATGGAAGAAATGAAAAGTTTGCAGACATCCTATACCATTTAGGAGGCAACGCGATTGGGTCATACACCGGGTAATCATAATAGCCTTCAAATCGTTTGTTGTTTTCAGGTTGACTACTTCCCTACGCATTTTTCCCCGACCTTGAAGATTAACAATTGCTCGTACGCAGCCAAAACAGGAGACACCTATGGAAAGGAATTCGGATCTTATTTGGAGCGAAGTCCAAACCCCATGAATGTGCTGTGGACGTTGAGAGTATAAATCAGGCATTTGTGCGTCAGAGTAGTGATCCTCCTGTTTCATGGATTCCGGAAGACGCAGCTAACATAACCCCATTCTCGAGGGAAGAAATATTTAAACTCCTTCGCACAACTAAATCATTCACTGGTATTGGTCCTGACAGTTTACCTTCATCCCTTCTAAAGCATGGTGCCTTGGCTCTAACGGATGCATTTATTTCTATCCTCAACACGTCACTTAGTTCATATTCTATTCCCGATTGTTGAAGACCCGTCACGATCATTCCCATTCCAAAACCGTGCAGATGCAGCACCCTGTCCAAACGTTTCCGTCCCATTGCTCTAACGTCACGCGGTCTTAAATTGGCAGAAAGTGCCATTCTCAAACGTCTTTCTGCTTCCTTCTGT